ATCCGGAGCTCAAGAAAGAAGAAAGAGGTGGTCAAGCAAGTATACCGGGTCAATAAAGATGATTGTAAATGTGTTATTTCAGATTTGATCTTAAATAACAAAGAGCCAATTAAAGTATTGACATTGGCTACAAAAGGCAAAGAAGTGAAGCAATCAATTGTTAAAAATCAAAGTGCCAAATCTGAAGAAACGAAGTTGAGGGTGCACAAGGTCAGAAAAGAATTGCCAATGGTCAAAATAGAATCACAGTCGAGATGCCCACTCGGCTGATTGTATTGGCAAAAAAAGAAATTACAAAATCTTAGTGCACAAGAGCTAAAAAAGAAGAACATGGCATAGGTTCCCAAGAGGGTCAATCAAAATAAAAATGATGTGCATGCTTCTACTGCAATAAGTACAATAACGGCGAAGAAAGAGAAGGATGGAGGCAACAAACAATTAAGCCGAAGGTGTGCATCACAACATTAAAATCTTCGGTTAGCACATCATCCATTTTCTTCAACCATGTCATTGATGTCTTTGCCATGGAATTCATCCCTAGGTATGATCAATTACCCTCCATGGATTTATTTTGATTGATGGTGCAACATAATTTTCTATATCATGACATGGTATTACCGAATCACTATACATTTGGTTAGTTACGTTTTTGTTGCTAATACAAAGAGGTCGGAATATTTTATTGCTATTTCATTTGTTTATTTAGGCTATACATGATTTGGTGATTTCTACATGGACCTCATGGCAATGGTCGATATATACTTATTGCCCTAAGCAGACATGGCCGATGGAGTGTTGACATCGTCCTTAGAGTAAATACGACATAGGTTATTTTTCGGCACGCTAACTTTGCCGAAAAACAAGGGGGCATGTGTTGACGCTTAAAAATGGCACAATCATAAAAGTTGCTTAAAGCTATGTCAAGATTAATTCAAACTTATGATTGGAAGTCACCATGGGATGGCTCTGTTCGAGAAGATCAAGATGGATATGAAGATGGTCTAAAATGGAGCTCCGTTGCAAAAGTTATGACAAGTTCAAAGACCCTCATATTGACATCAGATCATGAAATGGCCAGCAACTAAACTAATATGGCCTCTGATCGGAAATGTATCGACTCGAAAGTTGTGTGTCTCGTCGAAACGGTTGATTTTGATATAAAAATCGTCTTAATCCGAGGTCGTATGCAACCTGTGGAGGCAAAATAAGGTCAGAAACAGAAGCTGCAGAGTCATTTCGGATCGACCGAGTTGATTTGATCGGTGAGACCGAGTTGATCCAAAAAATTACCAGAGAGTTGGCAACGTTCACTCAGTGGGACCAAAGCAAACCAATCGGTGAGACTGGGTTGATCCGGGAAATTGCAGAAGGAGACAGAGTTGACATTGTTCACTCGATGGGGCCGAAGCAAACCACTCGGTGGCTCCGAGTTGATCCGGAAAATTGCCAAAGATCCTTGTCCGAGTTAGATTAGGGTTTTGATGTTTTGGATGAAATTTTTAGTCATTTTCTTGTATGGAAAGTCCAACCACCTCATAAATAGATGAGAGGTGACGACCGATGGAACAACACACAATCAAACAGTCAAACTATCATATTTTATCTCTACTTTTACCTTCTCCCTTGTTCTTCTTCCTCGTTCTTCATTCGTTCTTCGCAAAGGAGGGCAGCGACCCACGAGGCCCTAGGGTGATCAGGTCGACCTAGGGCAGCCCATAGCCGCCGCAAGCCCTGATCGGGTCCTTCCCAGGAAAGTGGGGTTTCGGGTCTACAAAAGCGCCTGCCGGATTGATTACGTATCGCGCTTCCGGACGGGTCTCCTTCGATGTGAGCTGTGCTGCATCACCCCCGGTGTCGAGGGTACATGGTGACGTGTTCGTGTGCGAACAACCCGAAGCTCCTATTCCTTGACCCACGTGGTAGGAAGTGATTGCTCGCCCAGGCGCAACTTAGGGCCAGCCCATGCGGGAAGGGGGTGTCCTTTTTTTCGTTTTTTCTGTTTACTTTTACTTCATTAAAAATGTTAAGGATTCAAAACCTTCATGAATTTAAACACAATTCTTGAATTCAAAAAATATTCGTGAATTCAAAAACAATGTTCTCGAATTTTAAAAATGTTTGCAGACTCAAAAAATGTTCGTAATTTTGAAAAAATATTCGTAAATTTGAAAATTGTTTGTGAACTGAAAAATGTACACGAGATTGATAAAATCCTCGTGAATTTACAAAAATCACGGGTTTAAAAGAATGTTTGTGAATTCAAAAAGAATGTTTGCGATCTTGAAACAACGTTCATGACATCAGAAAATGTTTGTGATTTGTTAAAATGTTTGTGAATTTAAAACCTATTCATGATTTCATATAAAAATTGAGTGATTTCGGAAAAAATATTCATGAATTTGTAAAAAGTGCTCAAGGTTTCAAATTTTGAATTGTATGAACACTTTCTGAGTTTTCTAAAAAAACTGAAATTCATGGACCTTTTTTAATATGAAGAACATTTTTTTAGTTTTTATGAACATTTTTATATTTGATTGATACTTTTAAATTCAGTGACAAGGAAATGTTCATAATTTTCAAATAAATTATGCAATGAAAAATATAAACTAAAATTATAACAAATAAGAAAAGAAAAATTAATGGAAAACGAACATGAAAAAAGAAAAGAAAACAAATACTGAAAGAAAAACAAAAAACAGTCTGTGAACCGAAAGTGTGATTTGCCCCATTTGGGCCGGCCCGAAACACGTAGCTAGCCCGGGGTGCATTTGGCCGAGAATTGTCGACGTGCGCGAGGAGTAGGATTCTCCATTAGAACCCCTTCATTAGCATTGCTCAAAATTCCCTTAAAAATAACACTGTTCAAAGTACAAAGGGGCTAAAACACCTCAATATTGTTACATTATAGGCTTATAGCATATAAGCGAAAAGCCAAAGCAAAAAAAAACATAAATAGATGTTTTTCTGGCTTTTAAGCCGAAGTGCAAAAGCCAAGAATAACGGAGCTTAGCACTAGTTTTTTAATATTTTTGCATAGAATTTCACCAAAACTGCCTTTTTTCAGTTCGATCGGCATGCCATGCCATTTGGAATTATCAGCTTGCAATCAGATCTCTAACAAGCACTCCCCCGCGAAAAAAGAAAGATCTCTAACAAGCACTCGTTCGAAGCTTCAACATATAACAATACGTAGAAAAGGTTATGGAACTTGCACTATCCAGCCAAGATTAAAAATTTCCTCTTGAGGACATTGAAAGGGGCGATCCCTTGCCATGCTATCTTAATAAACATATAAAGGTTTCTCCCCAATGCCCAGTGTAACAATTATCTTTGCATGTGTGTCGGCTACTCAAGTATGGAAGTTTTGGGTCTTGATGATGTTATTGATAGAGCTTGTGTTGTTGGTCTGGCTGGCAAGGTGATTCTGGAGTATCTCTTGATTGTCTCTGGTCATGAGGCTTTGGTCTTAGGAGTTAGGACAGGCGAAATTTAAGGAGATCATTGCTACTACAGCTTGGTACTTATGGTGAGGACGGAGAAAATTTTGTACATGATGAACCAATACAAACACCGAGTCAAATTCAACTTGCGACGTGAGCTTTGGCTGCAAATTTCACATTAGCTAGCAACCCAAAATCTAAGATGAAGCATGGGGGTTGGGCCAAGCCTATTGGAGGGTATGTGAAGCTCAATGTGGATGCTAGCTTTGACCCTTATACACCCCAAGCTCCTGTTGGAGCTATTCTCCGTGATGATACGGGCAGGTTTTATTGCAGCGGGGAAGGAGGACGGCGGGAAGGAAGCTCGTGAAGGAGTACTCAACTTACATTTTGTTGGATTCAGAAATATAGTGAACTTGTGCCAGCACGTCAGCGCCCATTACTTTCTATCTCCATCAGAAAGCTGTAAGCTAGTACTACTAGAACCACAAGTACACTGCCTGAATTCGTGTGTGCCATGTTTCCAATCATTCGTTTCTGGTGGCGCACATGTAACACTTGATTATGCCACAGATTTGGACCTCCTACCTGTTCTCCTCGTCGCGACGCTTCACCTATGCTCCGAACCTACATGTAACACTTTCTGCTCTAATGTCACTTTCCCGAAACACCCAAAACACAAAACGCTTGAGAAATCTACCAAAAAAAGGGCGAAAGGCGGTGGTGCTTTATTTATAAAGCGCGGTGACGAGCCTTTTTCGAAAAGACGGTAGCTTGAGAAACATACGCCGAATTTGGAAAAGAAATGTGCAAATTTTCGTGTGTGAACTGTCTCCTTTACTTCTTCGTCTTCTTCTTCTCCATTTTTTTTATTTGTTTTCTTCTCCTTTGCTAATACACCGACACGTTCTTATTATTTTATTCTACCTTGCAGATGCACCGACACTAGAGTCAACCGAAGCATGTTCATCATTATTTTATTTGTTTGGGCAGCACTTCCATCATATGGAACTGCTTTCTATAATTATAATATAATGCGTGTCATCTGTGGTATTGAGGCTCTACCAAAGGAAAACAAAACCATCATTAGCTAGCTCCACCAGCTATTGTGAGCTGCATATTAGCTGGTAGCAACTGGAAAGATGGTTGAGCTCTTCAGATCTGAAGAGAAGCAGTGGACGGCATCTATATCATCAAGACGAACATAGGAGCGGTCGACCACGAATCTGCATTAGCTTTTTATTTACCGCAGGAGGCAAAAGCATAAGGAATCCACCAACATTTACATGGCACCCACGAACCCAAAAGAATGGAAAGAACCAGCAGCATACACTCGGTATCTATTATATGTAGAGACATCAGATCTACCCACAAAAAAGAAAAGAAAGCAGCAGGGTAAACTACAATTCTAAATTCCCAGATATAATCGTGTTGCGAGCCATCTTAACCATCGATCTCACCTGAGACCTGAATCTTCTCCTTCTTCACGAGCCTCCTTCCCGTCGTCGTATCTATTTGGATCTCGCGGACACTACCAGAACAACATGCAAAGCAAACTGCTTAATGCGCCATTGCCTGGCCGTACTGGAAGCTCTGGGTGTAGGCGAACTGCGGCGCGGGCTTGCACTGCTGGGCGGCGGCCCTGTGCGCGGAGGACGCGGGCAGCGAGGCGCCCCTGAGGCGCTGCGTGGTGGGCAGCGAGTGGTCGGACGCGACGAGGCGGCGGACCCCGGAGCGCACCTTGTAGAGGACGTGGGCCCAGGTGCCCCGACTGCCGCGGCCGAGCGCGGCCGCCTCCTCCTCGTTCATCTCCAGGTCGCCGGCGAAGCCGAGCTTCTTGGAGAGCAGCCAGCCGAGGCCCCAGTCCCACCAGCGCTTGAGCGGCCCCCCGGCGAACTCGGCTGCGAGCGACGGCGCCGACCGGGTCCGGCGGAACGCCCACTCGGCGGACGCGGAGGAGATGGGCTGGATCTTGCCGGAGAAGCTGGAGAGCCTCTTCCTGAGCCCCATGAGGTGGCTCTCCTCCTCCTTGCCGCCCTGGAAGGTGGGCAGGTCGTCCCTGAGCGGCCTCGTCGGGAGGAACCGCGCCTTCTGGATGTTCTCCAGGATGGTGGCCATGGCGACCAGGCAAGGAAGATGCAGAAAGAGAAGGTGGGTCGCTAGCAACAATGGCCTTCTTCTTCTCTCTTCTCCAGATCTCTTCTTGGGAGGAGCTGGCGAGGAGGGGGGCACAGAGAGGAGAGGAAGTCGTAGAACGCGCGTCTGGGTGTGTATATGTGGGTGGTGGGCGCTGTGGTTCGGTCGCGGCTGGACAGGCTGGCTGGCTGGCCTTTGTGCATCGGGGGCCACGAAGTGCAGTTGAAAGCTTCGTACACCGCCGGAGGCTGCGTGTTGTTCCAGCCAGGGAGGCGACGTGAACTGGACGTGGACGGAGCGGCCGCGTTGGCTGGCAAGGCAAATGATGGGCGTCAGCTGCCGGTGCGGTTGCATGTCTGTGCTGTGTGTACCACCTGGCAATTGCACCTGCTGCTCTGCTTTGGCATCCACCACGTGGCGAGCTGTCTGACTTTGTTGCGGCGATAGTTCTGTTTCTCCACCGTGCTGGCCTAGGCCCCGGTACGTGGAACGCGAGAAAGATTTTGTAGTTTTTGTAAGTGCAGGAGATGAACGGGTCGTATGTATGCCTTTGGGGTGGTAAAATGGCTGGAAATTATCGTTGTTATTTTCATGGTACCAAACGGACACCTGGTTGCAGTTGCACTGTACTACTTTCTGTTCAGAGCAAGTACAATAAAGTGATGTAGGCGGGCTGTAAGACATTAAATATTATATTCTTGCTTACTTGGAAGAGAGAGAAGAGAAGCGGGCTACTAGTTAACAGCCGGCTACAACACGTGCTTCTAGGTACTTTGTGAGAGAGTGGGATGGGCCATGTATCAACAAAGTAGTACATATTTATATCCAGCTATTGTACTTGTTGGCTATAAGCTTAACTATATGTGACATGGAGCTGGCTATATTATTAACCATGCTCTATGAGGACGCCCCCTTCGCACCTACTCCTAGCTTCGCTAGAACCTTTGATGATCCTCTCAATGATGGATGGTTCGCATTAAAAGAATGAGAGGGGCTGCTCTATGTCTGTGTTTGAGCAGTACTACTAGTAATAAGCAAAAGAATGCGCATGAGAACATGGGGGTTGGATTAATCATCCAAATCGCCAGTCAGGTCGCCCACGAAACAATGCTCCTACCAGACAGAACAACCAACTGTTTCTTTCGCAAGACAAAAAAAAACCCAACTATTTGTCAGCTTCCGGCCTTTCCCACAAGGACAATTCTCCTTTTCTTCTCGTACGTAGTAATAACAGCGCGTGCGTCTTCGCAATCGCAAGCATCACCCGGACGGTGTAAAACCGAAAGTAATTCCAACGCCCGCCCTGAACGTTTCACCGCGTTTCACGCCGTGACCATGCGGCGGTGGCGTGCAAATCGACGCGGGAAAAAAGGTTGGAAGTCACCGGACACACACCGGTGTTGATGCTCCGGAGAGAGATGTGTAGCTCCGAAGAAGCGGGCACAGGCCACCGCACAGAGCCGGGACAGCGGGCGGCGGTTCACAAGTCCAACTCTGATACGACGCCCGGGCCCGCCCGCCCCTACTGACTGACCCCTGTTCTCTCGGTCTCGATCGTCGGTTGCTTCCTCCCGCCGACACCCACCTCCACCTGCGTGCGCTAAATGAAACGGCGAGGTAGGTGGAGGAAGGAATCACCCGAGTGGAGGGGCGCAACTGCTGCAGCTCCTTTGTTCCTTTCCTCCCTCGTCGCAGCGGTTTGACTGAACCATCACGCTGTAATCATATGCCTTTGGTTTTTTATTATCAGGGATGCATAATATGAGTGCCACTTTTGCACGGCCCTGCATTTTGAAGGGAAAAAAAAACTCGAAAATCGCATTTTCAAAGTTTAAAGAAAGAACCTGTGGAAACTTATACGTCGTGTTCACTACGGATCTGTAATTTTTTCGCTTAAAAATATAGTGATTTGTAAGCTAAAAATCCCACCCCAACAACAACAACAACAACAACAACAAAAAGGCCCGTTTTCATGTACTACATGTTTGTCTTTTTGTGTACGCATGCGAATACATTATTATGAAAAATTGCATGTATGTGGTATACATGTATTGTGTATGCATAAAAAAATTTCCCTTGTTTGTGATGTACTCCTACTACGGTACTTGACTATCCCATCCCCCCCATTAGGCATTTTCGTGTATAATATGCCTTTGTTCAGGGTTGGTACGCCGCAGTGGTAGCTCCAAGCAAAACAAAGCAGGGACAAATCAGGGACGCAACAATAACCTAGTTCCTGCTACGTGCCGGCTATGATACGTAAGAAAAACGAGCTGCCTGTAGCCCCCAGATATTATACGGTTCAGTGTGTAGTGCTACTACATCGGTGAAAGCTTTAGAATTTGTGTCGGTTGAACGGTCACATTTGGCCTGACAGACCGACAGTGATTGTTACAACCTCCCAAAACAAATGACATTTGATACTTGAGGGTCACACGCACGACCCGACGGCAATGTGTCCATGTGCTGCAGCCTCCGGTTCAATGCCAAGCTCGTGTAAAGCATGGCAAGGCGACGGACATGCATGCCTGATACAGTACATTACACAATCCTCAGGGTGGACATCTTACAGCAGCAGTAGCAGCAGCACCGGGGTTACAAACCTAGAACCTCTGGGGAATTTCTACTAGAATCCATTGTTACTGAAGTACAACACACAAATCACGGTCCCGTCCCCGCCCTCGCCCTCTTGAGCAGAAACCGGAGGGAGAGGAACCCCAGGGCGAAGGTCTGCCAAAACCACCCCGTCGCGTTCCTCGGGTCGACCTTCTTTGCCAGGAACCAGGCGTAGACGGCTTCACTCGCGTGCGCCGCGACCGCGGCCACAAAGACTATCCGGATCACCAGCATCGAGCGGAAAACGAACAGATTGATGGCGAGCACCCATTTGAGCGGACCGACGGGTGGAAGGAAAGCGGCGGAGAACACAGCCAGCATCCCGGCTATTACTGCAACCCAGGTGAATATCGTCGGGCCATCGAGCTCTCTCCTCTTCCGCTCTTGCCAATAGGAGATCGTTGCGGCCAGGCCTTCCTGTGGACTCGTCACAGGCACGTAGCCAAGTTCCTCCTTAGCTTTCAGATATGAAAAGTAATGTGTAACACCCACCTGTCAATATGAACTACCAGCATTAGTTTATGATCCCTGTATACAAGCAATGATTTGTTGCCACTCATCAGTCACTTGTCGATAGTAATATTATAGCAAGTCTACTTGCCTACTAGTAAAGCATAAGTAGTCAGTACGGAACTACAGATATCCCTTGAAAATGACAATTTTCAAAATATTGTTAGCTCTGACTCATATACTGCAGATCTGTCGTAGCTATATTAGGTGGAATAGGTTCAAGCTCATAGAAAACCAAAGGAAAAAAAAGATCTATAGTTATTCATGCCTCAGCATGATGAACTCAGTTGCCATATGAAGATAGTATGAAAAATTATGATCAAAATATATCCACCTTGCACAAAAAACAGAAATACAGTGTTCCTTAAGGGACAAGCACTAGGGCAACAGAGATATCTAGTGTAACTCGACCAATGGACTTACCTTGTATACTTCAGCAGGAAGAATAAGAGGCTGAGGAATCCATTTACTATCTAACCATGGATAGAATAGTGTGGACATGAACAAAATGATTCTTGAAATTGCAAGGGCAACAGAGGTATCTAGTGTAGCTCGAGGTACAGGATAGCCCAAACTTCGAAACAAGGGACTGATGATAAAATCAAAACTATTAATAGGCTCTCCTGAAAAGAAAAGAAAAACCAATAAGGCAATACCATATTTATCTTGAAGTACAATCAGTTATCTAGTCAAAATACCAATACTTTGTTAAAGGTTGTGGGTATATTGAACGTAAAAAAAGCTAAAAAAACAGTAAAACATCAAGTACATGCTACAATTAAGTTTGTAATAGTTAAGCTCTGAACTAGGAAGGAAAAGTAGCAAAATAGTACTTTCAGGCTTATGCAATGTAGTGCCATTTGAAAATTTCTGAAGTGCTTTTAGCAGATGAGTTACGTGCTTTTTCCCCCCTTCTTGAGGAAAGGTTTGCCCCCGATTTTTAATTAAAAGAAACTGGATACTATAAGGTTCACAGCTAAAACACACACATCACTACAAAACGTTCTCAGATTCTGGTAAAGAAACAGCCACCGAACAAGTTATGTGGTAGTGCAACAAGTAGAATAATATACATCCTTAACAGTGGCACTATTGTGAAGATCAAGGGATGAATTCACTGATGTTCTTTAAGTAGTTCTATTAGGGTAGCCAACTAAACATGTTACATGTACGACTAGTTGAAAGTTGAAACCACAAAGGTTGCACTGATATGCAGAAGATAGTACTCCCTCCGATCCATATTACTTGTCGCTGGTTTAGTACAAAGTTAGTACAACTTTGTACCGAGGGAGTACTAGAATTCAGAACATGGTACCATGACTATAAAGTTATAACTCAGAAACTGTATATAATGCTAATAATACTAGGACAGGAGCAGAGACCATGCAGGCACGTCTTATATTAGTGTACAGAGGGAGTAGGAATTACCATCAGGTATGAAATATTCAGAACATAGTACCATGAGTATGAGTTTATAACTCAATAACAATGTATAAAGTTAATAAATAATAATGCCAGGACAGGAGCAGAAAACATGCGGGCTAACAAGGATTACCATCACATATGAAGTATGCTTGACCAGCTGCTACAGGAGTTCCCTTCCTGCCAGGAATGTCATCTAAAAGTCCCATACTTGCCAATATCAGTGCAAGAACAAGATTATCAGCATAGACCCAATCTGTCTTCACATTTGGACCCCCAATCCTGAAAGATGCTAATCCCAATTTTCCAAGAGACAGGATTCTTGGAAGATGACGCTCTTCACCTGGACCATAGATAGCAGCCGGGCGTATTGCACATGTATAAAGGCGAGTACCTTTACTACTCCTGTAGGCAAACATCAGATCAGTATGACA